TTTCCCTAGTTCCTTTCATGTTGTTTTGGCTTGTTCTAACCTACAGATCCTTCAAGCCTTCTTTCCTTCCCTTGTTGACACACTTTGATTTTTTTTTTTTTCTTAAGAGGTTTTGTTCCTCATAGTATTTTTTTGGCATTTCACATTAGAGTGGAGAGTGGAGATTTTCATGTCCTAAACATTGCACTGAGGATAATTTCAGATGTTTAGCCAAAGACAGTAACATTACACAAAAAACAGATCCTGAGAGCAGGAAACAGAAACCAAGGCACTTGTCTCCCATGAGAGTTTTTCAGCTATCAGGTTATAGTCTGTGCTGAATGCCATGGTAAAGCTCCCTTTTTTTCTTTGGCCAGTGACTGTACAATAAAATGTCCAGGAGCAGAACTTGGGCCCCACTCATCACTGAGGTGAGTGACCTAATCCTGCCAGCTACAAGAGCCACCTGAGAAGTGTCTGTATACTCTTCCACTTGAAGCCAGGGCACTGTGCTGATGGGAATACAGGATTCATGGGAACATAAAGAGAAAGCAGCAGAGGTAGCCATGTGGCAAGGGTTTTTTGCCTTGGAGTCCCATCCCACTGTTGGTTCTGGTCATTTTTGCCATTTTTGGATATGTTCTTTTAAATGACTATGTAATGAACAACACTTAAGGAAGCCTTGGAGTAAGGGGTCAGGACCCAGGACTTGCATCTCACTAGTTAGTGCCCCAGCTCCTTGGCTACAAGCAGTACAAAGGCAAGTCTTCTCCTTCCCACCACTTGAAGAAATGCCATTGTGCTGACAGGAGTGCAGGGTCCATGGGTTCAGGATGAGAGGTGGAACAGTCGGTTCTGATCCTGTTCCAAACTTGTTTCTTTTCCCAGGTTCTTTGACAATGACGGGTCAAATGACTGGGAGCAGGGATCAGAACCCAGGTTGCTAATCTAAATTAATGAGTGCCTCAAGCACTTTGTGCAAGCTGCACAAAGTCATATCCTCTTGTTCCCCTCCTCTCAAAGCAGTGCCACAGTGCCAACGTGATTCATTAGTTAGAGAAAAAGATGCCTAATGTTGGCTACCTCTGTAGTCCAGTAGTTTAAGATTTCCCCTCAGAGTCCAGAATTCAATTTCTGTTCCTAGGATGATCTTAGTTTTTTAACCTGTGTGTGTTTAAGGAGTAAAATGATTAAGTAGTTCTCAGACACAGGAATCAGAATGCAAGATTATTTGCAGGAAGAGATGGCAAGGCTTCAAAGAAGGCCAGGTAAATTTGGTCTGTAGCCCAGTGATTTAGAGATTCAGCCCAGAATGGGAAGTCTCAATCTCTGAATAGTGATCACAGAATTATTTAAGTGGTTTAGCCAATAATTTTTTAAAGGTGAAATGCATAGGACATCGGCAAAATACAGACCAGAATCCATAGCCTAAGCCTCCGCCCCTCCCCCACAACTGTCTTGAGTGTGAAGATACATAGTACTTTAGAGATGTGTTTTTCCAGCCTCCTCTGAAAGACGTGCCACTGCAGGCCCAACAGGAAGATTTATGTGACCAGAAAGAGAAGGTACAAGGGCGGGCCTGACTTGGTAGTCCAGTAATTTTGCAACCCACCTCAAAGCAATCTCTGCAGCCATGATTCTTTTAGTTGTTTAGCCAATGGCTTTTTAATGTAGAAGAAATCTTAGGAGCAGAGACCTAGGACACTTAGGGTCTTATTGCACCCAGAATGCATTAACTGCACTATAAATGCTACCATCTGTTGACACATGCAAAGTGCTGTCATAGGCCGCTTGTACACGTGATGGGGGTTTAGTTCCCTAAATTGAAACTGTGGGTTTTAAATTGCAATGATTAAAAAACCACCATTTCAATTTAGGGGCTTCCATCACTGTTATGGTGAGGAGCCTGGTTCTTTTTTTTTTAAAACCTGTGGAGCCTGCCCACGTCTCCCACAGCTGGGGGGCAAGCTGCCATTGGGATGAGCAGCTGCTGAGCTGCGGGGGGACCTAGTCCTTCCCTCCACAACAGTGGTGTCCCCCAGGGCTGCCTGGGTGGCTGCTAGTGGGTAGGTGCTGCCCCGGGGGCCACTGCTACCATGGAGAGAAGAACCGGGGCCCCCTGCAGCTCAGGGCCTGCCAGCATCTCATCCCCCAGCCACAGAAGAGGTGGGCAGGCTCCGCAGAAAACCCCCCAAAAGGATCAGGCCCCTTGCAGCTTTTTTTTTTTTCCTTAGTGGAGTCTGCCTGCACAGGCTGCTTCCAGGCTGCACAGTCCCTGCGCTTTGGGTGGACCTGGTCCTTCCCTCTGCAGCAGCGATGCCCCCCAAGGCCGCGTGGGCAGGGTGCTAGCTGTATGGGTGCTGCCCCAGGTCGCAGGCAGCACCTGCCAGATCCAGCTCTTCCCCAAGCCTACACGGGGAGCAGCGGCAAGCAGGCTTCCAGCTCACGGGCTCTGGGAAGAGTTGGATCCAGCAGGTGCTGCCTGCAAGCTGGGGCAGCACACATGCAGCTAGGACCCCACCTGGGCAGCCCCAGGTGGTGCCTGCCACAGACAGAAGGACCAAGACCTTGCAGCTCAGACCACTGGCAGCTCACCCCCCAGCCACAGGAGATGTGAGCAGGCTCAATTAAAAAAAAAAGGATCGGGCTCCTCAGTGCCTGCCTCTCCTGTGGCAGAAAGGTGAGCTGTCAAAGGCTGCAATGTTACAAATAGTAGGGGTGTGCGAAGCTTCGATCACCGGTTCAAATTCGGAGAAGATTTGGCCCAATTCAGCAGCTGAATCATCGAATCTGAATCGAATCGGGCAATCGATTAAAAGCTCCAAATCGATTCAAAGCATCCAAATCAATTCAGAAAAGATTTGACAATTTGGAAGGCGATCTTGCGAAGAAACAGAAACTGAAAAGAGGGAGGGGAGGGAGGAGTAGGGGGAAAAGACTGTTCTGATATTGACATCTGTAGCTGGCCAGTGACT